GCCTGGGAAAAGATTAGAACCCCTGTATGCCTGACCCTGGCCAAAAGTGTTTGAGACAAACTTCTAATCTGTCAGAACAAAACATTTTTTTCTCCTGATACAAGTTTTATCTCACTGCTGATGTAACTTGACATCTGAAATGGCCCCCACAGGTGGGCAAGTCCTTTGTTTTATTTCAGTTCATTCTGGAAATGTGAATGAAAATCGAATATTTATTGAAGACAACGTTCTGCAGTTCTCTACTTTTGCTTCCCCTTCCATTTTCCACTTTTCTTTTTGTGGATGGCACTGTTTGGTTTCGGGTCTGAGCTCTCAGTCATCCTTGCCAGCTGCTTTCTGGAAATGGAACACAACCTTGAAAATGCATGGAATGTGCAGCACTCCTTGCCTGCTAAGACCCTTGCCAGTTTAGCGCTTACCAGAGTCTGAAAATGTGACTTCTCCAGCCTGGAAGAGCCTTCCAAGCTACATGATTGAATGGGGACCTTTGTGTTGCTGTCCAACTGTTTGTTGCAGAGCAGGGGGAGCTGTGGGTTTGGTCCAGTGCCTAAATCCACAAGGCTTGGACAAAGACACATAGCTGGTGTGATGCTGGGTTTATTTATACATAAATGCCTCCATGCTGCAGCTGTGAGAAATATACAAAGCCCTAATTCAACCTTCTCATTATGGCACCTAGTGTTAAGTTACATATCCACTACTACCTTCTGTATCCATCAGTAGTTGCTTAACAAAAGTAGATGCTGAGAACTTCACTATTATTAATGTTTTAGGATTAAAAAGACGGCTGGAAAAGGATGACTGGTTAATCTGATGCCTTATTTAGGAAGGTAAGTATAAATAGGTATAACAAATGTCTTCAGACGTGGTGTAGGCCAGTTAAGACTTAAGCTTTTGAGTTGCAGCAGTTCAGTAGCACCTACAGTGCAAAACTTCAGGTGGTGGAGGAGATGTTTTTAAATGGAATGATTTTTGACCAAAAAGCACCAGAGCATATTTCTGACCTGAGATTTGTTGTTGGTAGATTCAGTAAGTTTTTCTTCGTATTGTTACTGTCTGATATTAAATAATATTAAGGATCACACTACAAAAAGCTATAATGGTACATCACTTCATCTGAACTAATATGGACCTGTGACAGGACTAATGGTTAAAGATTCCTGGGTTGGTGGCTCTTCCTTTACCTGTGGTTATAACCCTTGTCAAGTCACATAATTTATCATCCTCTCCTGAACTGGAGGTACTTGCCATCCTCATGTGAATGATACATCAGTGCTTTTGAGTTTGACAAATGTTAATGTGCAGGTTGTACTTAACTTTAATGAAATAATATGTGGTTAGGATACTTTCAATAGTGTATTGCAGGTGCTCTTAAAATAGTTTAAAAGCAATTACTGAATGTTTTAATTGGTATTTAACTATAAATGAACACTTTGAAAGTTGATTGGAGTAACAATCTCTGTGATTCTTCTGGTTCATACTTAATTATTGCTAATTTTATTGATTTATTCTTCTGACATTTTCTGATCTTTTAGTAGAAACATGTCTAGATGAATTCCTGTAAGAATTGCTGTATGGATGCCTAGAAGTATTATAAATATTGATGCACAAAGTCACTGCTTTCATAGTATACTGATGTGTATCTACCACACAGACACAAACACAAGGGGAAAGCTGTGTTTATGATACTTTTTAGTGACATCTGGCATTCTCACAGGAAGCCTGGTGCCTGCTTGTCTGTTCGGGAGAGCCACATTTATGACTCCAAGCCAAGCTACAAAAGGGAACATTACTGTTACTAACTATAAAGGAATGAATGTGATCAGGAGTAATGGCTTTAAGTTAAAAGCAAGCGTTGATATATTGACTGTTGTTCCCTGTGAATAAAAATCAGACCTGGCCAGCTGTTGAAAGTATGGAGCTGTTGTTTCCTCGTGTGTCCTCATGCATAGGAAGCCTCCTGACCTTGGGCCTTGATTCTGCAAGCATGTGTACTGATCATTCATTTCAGCTTACAGAAGTATTTGCCCTAGGCTAATGTGCTGTGTGACTTCTTGCAAAGCAGAAAAGATGGAATCTTCCACACAGATTCTACCAAAAAAATAGCTTATGTTTAAGCTACCTTTGAAGTCCTGAACTAGTAGCGAGAAGATAGATCACACCAGTCAATAAAAGCTCAGTCACAGAAGGCTGCAGTAGTTTGCATATGAAATATAAACCTCTGCATGGATTTTTAGTCAGTATTTCTAGAATGCTTGTATTGTGAAGTTAAATTCCTCAGTAGCAGAAGAAACTGGTGACATCTGTGCTCTTCCCCCCAGTGGCTGAATAATTCATAATTCCATGAGGCATGTGTTTGGTCAGACACAGAGTGCATATTACAGAGTAGTTTCCAGTACAGACAAGAAATTGTTAAATCCGGAGTAACAGAAATTCCTATTCTTTTATGTTGCCATGATAAGAAAAAGCTGTAATCTTCCTGCTCTTGTATGAGTTTACGTGCGTTTTTAGCTAATTCATATACATAAACAAGCAAATAGAACAGTTGTGTGAAACTTCATCATAATTTTCTTTCAAAAACCAGTGGTATGTATGGACACCTGAAAAAAAGATACTAATACTGAACTAATCTGGTCCCCTTTAAGTATCGTAACCTAAAAGTACAGGCGCAGAGGATACTAATGTGGAAAGTTAAACTTTTTCTAGCCAAGTTCAGTCTTCAACTGAACTGAGTCACAGGAAGTGGATGGTGATTAAGGTGTGTGTGAATTGTATTTCAGGGATGGGACCTCATGTGTTCATCTGTAAGACTTCAGACATGCTTTCTTGGAAGATAACTCATTTGATGTACCAGAACTTTCAAAAATGAAAGTTTACCCTTGCTGCATGACTTTGTTACATGAGTAATGCTGCAGAATGCAGTGAGTCAGAGGTAAAAGAATTACTGCTGCTGAAGTTAAACAGCTGCCTTTACAAAACCAAGTTAAACTGAGGTCCTGTGGCTTTCATAGAGGTTGTGAAAACTTTTCAACCTATTTCAAGCTTACTTTGGGCCTTGAATTTTGTGCTTTAAAAATGCCCAATACCAACTTGTGTTAGTAAAGGACTGACTTAAGATAATACACTAGATTTAAACTTGTTTCAAAGTTTTTATATAGTGCATTCATTGTACAGTGGTATCATTAATTTGTCCCTTTAGTTTTATGCAGCTTTTGAGTGTAAGCAGAAATGAGCCACACAAGTTTCAAAATCATTTGGGAAAATTGAGGGAAGTTGAAAACATTTTATCATTTTTTAAGAGAAAATAAAGAAACACTGTAAAATAAGACAGTTCACATTATAATTTTTATTTCCAAAGCTTGAAATGATAGTTCAAGGCACATGAATGAAACAGAAAAGCACATGTAGTTAAGTTGACATGTATAGCAATTATTGACCATATGGATTATCATGATTTTTACACCAAACACTTAAGTGCCTTAAAGGTTAGAAAACATGTTGCCTATCACTTGACATACAAAGCCTTTGCTCTGAACTGCCTGAATTCAGGTACTGCAGCACTAAATACGCCACAGAAAAGTTGTGGACTCCAGAGATGCTTTATACCTTACTAACATTCTGCTCTGGTGTTGCACATATGTTTTCAAACAACACACCAACTATACAGTTAGAAAGAAAAAATGGCATATGCTAATTCAAAAGCTTCTACATATCAGCTATAAAGTGGGTTGAGTAACTGGTTAAAGTGACCCATCAAAACTGGGTATTTTCCAAGCACCCTTTAATTCAGGATGTGTATTTCAATCCCTGCATGTCTCTGCAACAGGAGAAGACAGGAAATTCCTGGTGCAGCAGTCAGAAGAGCAAGCTTTCAGTTGGTAGGTCAGTTCCAGCTGGGCCTACCATGTTTTGCCACATAATGTAAATATCAAAAGCAGAAAATCTGTATCAATAGTGGAAAGATTAAGCTTCCACTATCTATCTTCTAAATAACTGGTTCTCTCTGAAGCCAATTCCTCCTTTTAGATACATCATTTGGTAGATAAACATGCCACAAGCACTTAACCAGCCAAAACCACTTAAGATTCTGGAGACTTTTTTTTTCATCAAGCTAGGATATATCTATTAACTGCAAATCACATTTCGGATGTAAATCTCATTGCTGCTGAGTTTTTCTTACTGTATAATCATTCTCTTGTTCTAGTGAACTCCTGATTAGTAAAAGCCTTATGAAATATTCCATACTCTGTAGTCTGGGGCAGTGGGAGTCCTTAGAGTTGTGTGGGATCCCCATAGATCTGGAATTCTTCAACCGTATTTTCCATGGATCATCTTCTCACACAGATACAGGAATAGTCTTTAGTTCTTATAAGAAGCACTTTTATTTTTCTGGTGTAGAATGGCATGGCTGTGTGTTTCAACCATTTTCAGGGCCTGTAGAACAGAAACCCAGATGTTTTATGTTCATGCTTACCCAAATGTTATGTGATCTTTTCTCCCTCCTCTTGTATGTCTGATTTCACTTTCCAGTTCATATTTTGCTTTCTCCTAATGCTGTATCAATAGTAGTTGTTAAATGTAGTGTGGTTTTCTTACTAGTTTGGAGTTTATAAGCACTTCAGATTTACATGGCACCAGTGAATCTTGTTGATACCAAAACAGCTTCTACAAATGTCCAGAGTAATAAGATAAAGATCAATTGTGTTCACATGTTATCCAGCACTTCCAGAAGTTAGTCCTGTAATACTTCATAGTGGATTTTGCCTCTGTGCAATGGAGTAATCCAAAACCCATGCACCTGATGACTATTATAACTGCACACAGTGTCTGACTAACTTCTCTGAAGTATGTAAGTGGGTTTAGATCACGCACCTCACATTGGCACTGTGGGGTCATGAAACAGGTTATTGTGTCAAGACAGCATGAGAAATTTCCAAAGCAGTCTCTGTGACCCTGCTCAGAGGATGGTGCTTGTTTGAAAAGCCTGAGTAACAATTTACTTACGAGTACCTGCCTGACATCTTCCTTACAACAGCGATGATGATTCCTGCAAGGATTCCAACTGCAACTATGACTCCAATAATTATTCCAACCAGTGCAATTGTTTCCAGACCACCTGAAAGAAAATTGGGAATGTTAGCATGCTTCTTATGGAGACCACTGGTAGGAGGCTACTGATTGAAATGACACTGTTCTGCTGCATCCCACTCCTTGGGGAAAGTTCCCTTATCTTGTGAACTCTGAAGTAGGTTGGGTAAGTTTAGGAGGCTTTTTGTAACCTATGAGAGTGCCTTTGGGCTGGAGGACTCTGTAGAGATGTGGCCATGGAGACAGCAATGGGGTGAAACAGAGGAGGCATTTCAGGGGGCAGCTCGTGGCTCCTCCCAGGACTTCTATTTAAGAATAGCATGGGCATCACTGGTGGCTTTTTGAAGGGTGTCACCTGGCAGTTAAGTTCTCCCTTGTTCTTATAAGGGATACTTCTGTTCAGTACCTTTTTCAGTTTTCTCTGGCTCCCCACTCAGTCTGCCTGTAAAGCCAAAGAGAGAACAATTATTTAATTACTTGCTCAGCTTTGTATGGAGTTTTCCATCCCAATTTTTAGTGCTGTATTCAAGGAAAACTTACCCACTTATCCAAGGGAAAAGTTTATCAAACTTTTACTGCAGAGGTTTGAGGGTTGTGTAATAGCTTGTTCTTTTGATTGGAAGTGAGCAACTGAGAAGTTTGAGAGAATGAATGCAATGAGCTCTCCGAAGTAGTAGAAATTAAAATCAAAGGGCCTCATTGATCTGATATATACTAGTGAATCTTAAGTGTGATCACATCAAGATCAATAAGGATATACCTGGTATAAAATGAAGATGAAAGTCAGATTTTAATTGAGATGGATTTATGCTGATATGCTGACAGCAAGGCAGAACTTTATTTGCTGAACTACTCTTTGTTAATAAAGGCTTTTTGTTAGTGTGAAAGATCCTGAAGTTCCTTACCTAGTCTTTTGTGTCTGGAAGATTGTACAAAATCTGATTAGTACACTTCTCTAATCCTGGAATTTGTAACTGAGAACTCATCAGAAACAGATGAAGCACAAATGCTACTTTGAATTCGTTACAAGTATGTAATCCCTAATCTTTCACCTATCCTTTAGGAAACATCTGAAAATTCTATATAAAATTTAAATCTGCTGAACAGTTTATTATTTAATGCTAAGCTGAGAAGTCTACACTCAGCAGAGATAAGCAGGGTGGGAAAGGAGATAAAAGCATGTACAATTTTTAAACAAACGTGTCTGACTTATTGAGGGATATAAAACTGCTGTAGAAAATGAAAGCTTCAAAAGGAAGCTAGCCAAAGAGAGAAGTGTTTGCTCATAGCTGCTGTCAAGAGGTAGTTGGCTTGGCATACTCTAGGGAGAAGCAGTGAACAATATACATACTAGAGGACTTTGTAGACACACAACTGCCACCAGATCTGATTTGACTATCTGTTTCAAAGCAAAGCCTATATGCTAAAAAGAAACTGACTTGCAATGGGGTTGACAGATGCCATTCATGTGAATTGAGTATATCGCTAATATATTCTGATAGGGGAACCTGATGTATCTGTGAAGCTGACTGACTTTAAGTATTTCTAATCAGATTTTGAGTTTGTACTTGAGGTAGAGTCCACTCTGAGCATCTGTTGGCAACAGCTACTACCATTCACATTAAATGAAGAACGGTTTTTTGAGTCTTCTTGGGCACTGTTCTGAATTTGCATTTGGCTATCAGAAAGTTGGTCTGGAAACAAAACCACCTCTTCTCGTAATCGTTCATCTGACCACTTTAAAGTGAGATTCATTAAACTTACAACAGTCATTGCTAGTGTTATATGGCTGGAATATCAGAGCAGAAATTACGATGCTTGTGTTCTCTTCCTTTTTACTGGTATGAGAGTGAACTGCAAGAACAACCACTGGTGAACGAAATGAACTCATTCCTTTTGTCAGTGTACATTTGTGATGAAGTTAGGATGCAGAGTGATTATTAAGGAGTAATTTTAGCAATCACCTTTCAGCAGTGCTTCCTTTGAGACAACCTTCAACTTAGTATTTGAATTTTCCAGGTATTGTTTAGTAGGTGGCGTTAGAACTTTGACATAATGAAACAAATGAAAGAATTTACCATCAGCATTTTCTGTGTTGACTTTGTAACCAGTAGAATTATCACTGTCTTCAGCCTGGGCAAATGCACTTTCTGTGGTCATCAGTTGTCCAAACTGCAAGAGATTGGTGACACTCTGGAGTCTTGTGGGCAACTACAAGAATTTGGGGGGAAAAAGAGGGAAAAGAAAACCTCAGTACATTTAGTCTGTGTGTACGAAATAAGCATTTTTAAATCTCTTGGACTGCCAGGTAGAGGATTTCTTAGCTATCGTATGTCATCTCTGACTTGTGTACAGTGACAGGAAAAGTAAGCTGATTTGTCTTCCCAGCCAGAGGCTCTCAAGATGGGATGACCCCTCAGTAGCACTATGGAAGGCATAGGGCAGTACTGCAGAATACTGCAGACCTGCCTTTTTTCATTGTTTTTCTTTTTTTACAGTTTCTCAGTTTGGTTTCACTGAAGCTAATGAAAAGATACTGAATTAGAGGTAAAAATGACAATGCATAAGCAGTTATGAATGCTTTTTACAACACAGAACTATTGCCAAAGTGTTTTCAACTTTGTCATCTTCACCCTGATTGCTTGCAAAGCAAAGGCATTGGTGTTAGAGCTCGTATGTAAGAACTCAAGATTATTCTATATAATGATTATTGAAAATCTCAGACAGAAGACAATACCAGAAATACAAGATCAGGGTACCCTAAAGGAACCTCTGTTCAGAACGATACTCACCAGGGTTGGTAATTCGTCAAGTTCTGTGTCATTTCTGAAATCTGTTGTTGTACTTTCTTCTCCCTCTAGAACTGAGCTTGCTGAATAAAATTTTAAGGAAATGAGTTAGCATTTTACTTGGTAGTCAGATGTCCTGCCTACACTGACGTGGAAATTGTGTTAAACATGAGATCTGAGTAGTGTTCCATCTCCCCTTCCCTGTGCACATACGTTTGCAAAATTACTTGGATTACCTTTGAATTATGCATAACTCTTGTGCAAAGCTGTAGGATAAAGAGCTGAAATTCACATGACTTAACTCTGGCACAACCTTGAAGCTTACTGGTTACTAAAGACTTTGTCCAAGAAAAAATTTCTTGAAGGAAAAAACTTTCCCCTTCCCTCTGGATAGATGCAACTGCTCCAGATCTCAAGTTAAGCATTTTATGTATTTGATAAATTACTTCAAGCATCTTCCACTTTCTAAAATAATAAGAGCTTTCTCTCATCTTTCAGCTCAGTCCCAGTTACAACCTTTATTTTTAGAACTATCATTAATGTTTATGGGTATAGATACAGTTTAGAAAATATTCCCACACAAATCTGTTCAGAGATTTTTTTCTAAGTTGCAAACCTTACTTGCTGAATATTGCTGAATAGGGATTTTTTATGTAACAATGTAAGGTCTCCCTTTTCATTCTAGACCTATCTATGTCACCTGTGTTCTTTGGTATAACAGACACTTAAATTCTGACCTGCACAATACTTTCTTTACAAATACTTCTGACTTCACCAGTAGGAAAAATAAGATGGAACAAGGTAGAACATGAAAGATGGATATATGAAGACAACTGGTAATATCAATGTTAAACATAAGTATCATTTAAGTTTCTTGCCAATTCATATAACTCTGACCATACACAGTATGATGCTACTGCAGTGATTCAAATTCTGCATCTAACATTAATTTCAGCAATTGGAGCAAAAGTTTGTCCAAACATTTTGAAATCAAGTTTGTATTTTTTTTTTCAGCCTAACGCTAAGTTCTTGCCAGGAAATACTGCACTGGTGGCTGAAGGTTAAAATAAAAATGTTGTTTCAAATGAAAAAGCCAATATTTAATTTTGAAACAAGTAACAAAATTGCACTGGGCTCTTTAAAGGAAACTTTTCATACAGAGGATGAATGATTCGACATTGGAAAAAAGCAGTCTCTGGTTTTGCTTGAAACTCTCATCTAAATTCTACTGGAAACTTGCAACTATTTTTCTTTGCTCCCAAAACTCGTTTTTGAACCAAACTAACACTTTTTCATCCATCTCTAGCATTGTAAGACTGAGAGCTTTGTCCCATTGCCAGAAGCCCAAACACTGATCTAAACTTAGACTTCTAATTCCATGTTTACTCAAGTAAACAGAATTTTATAAACCCAAAGGCAGATACACTTTCATTTGAAGAGCCAAAAGGGTGTGCGAGTAGTACTTGAGACACAAAGAGATGAAGAAAGTATATTCATATTATGCCAACATGAGGTCTAATTAAGCCAGTCAGTCTCCCAGAAAATCACCTTCTAATCCATGGAAAGACAAGAACAGGCCAGGGTAAGTTATTTTTACTGACTAGCTTAGAAATAGGATGTTTTGGTCATTTTTGATTGAAATGCCCCAGGGGAGCAGCCTTGAATATTCTTCTGTTGAGATAGCATAGAGGGGCCTGACTTAAGCGTGTTGCTTTAGCCACCTTCTACATATTAGGGCATTTTAAGATACTGCACTACTTTATAATATTTTTGTGAATGTCTTTAAAGTACAATATTGGGATTATCCTCTGTAAATGTTAAATGTAAAGAAAGAAATAGCAATAGAGCTCAACATGAATTGCGTATGGATCAGTTTAGTTTGTAATCCTGGTTGGAAATGAAAAAACATCCCTCATTTGCCAGTTGCAAAATAAACCCAGATGGAGAGAACCAATTGCCAAAGGAAAAACCCGAAGTAGAAATTTAACTTTGTGTATTAACAAGCAGCTTCTCTGAATATACTCTTGGTGTGACAGTAGCTTTCAGCCCTGAAGAGTTAGCTGGCAGTGAAGGCAGTGTCACACAACAAAAGTGGAAAGAATTAGTTTGTCACAAAGAAACATGAAATAATTATTCTTTGTGTCATAAAGTTATTGCAGATTCTTGGCAGCAAGTGAGATGTAGAAAATCTCTTTCAGTGCATTTGCCCTCTGTGTACAGTGATTGACAAAAGGAGGTTGCCCAGATTAATCTGGCCTAATTTTAGGTTCTTAAAGGGGCCTAAATAAAATGTCTGCTTGCTCTTATCTCCTTTCATAGTCTGCAGGGAAAGATAAATCTAGAAGGTAATTCAGCTCACCTGAGATTTGGGTCACCCTAGGTAATGCTGCTTCTCCTTTACTGTAAAGGGAAACTAGAATACTGTGGCACACCTATTACATGCCTCAAGCTCACTGATTTCTGTCATTGTGAAGGTCTTGTCCCAGTCCTGTCCAATCCACTTAATACTCTGCCCAAGCTGAGCTCCAGGATTTGCTGGGTTATAGTCCCTGGACTGTATTTCCAGGTTTGTTTTTCTGGACAGACAGTGGGGGTGGTAGTTAAGCAGACACTACTAACCACCAAAAGACAGACTGGGATGTAATTTATCAGTATACTACATCTGTAAGAAGAAATATTTGATACCAGGCAACTCTTTGTCAGGGAAAGTTGTAGTAAAGTAAAAAGTATTTAAATGGAATTGAGAGAAACTACTGGACTTGAAATGTCTTTCCCTGTACCCACTACAAGACACGTATACCACTGACATCAAAGAGACCGTAAATAGGATGCAAGGGTGTATGTGCTTTAGTTATTTGTTGGTTTTGGCTGATGTGGGTGAGTGTAGCAAGAGCCATAGGGTTAAGTAGTGCTTCTGCATATGTTCTTGATGTGATCTTAGAGGAGGCTGTAAATAAAAACATTGCCTCAGTGCTGTGATTGTCTCCAACCAGCGCTATGGCCTCTTCTGTTTGCAGCTATGTGTTGCTGCAGATGTGAATGAATCATTGCATTTCTTTCTGCCAGAGTTCCAGCTGGGTGTGTTTCAGTTCAAAGTCCTCAGCAGCTATCAGCCTGCAGCTTCTCACACCAGGAGAAAATGGGATGCCTTTAAAAGTTTAATGCTGCTTTGAAACCATCCCGTGGTTAAGCATCCTATGACCCACTTAGGGGAAGATGAGCTCACTGCTCATTGTTATGCATGGAGTGACAGTTCACTAGAAAAACCTTTTAGGGGTGCTTTCAAAGCACAGTGATTGTGAGTGGTAAAACTGTTGTTCATTAGCATTTCTTTCAGGTATCTCCAAAACTAACAAAGATACTTCTGAAGATGGATGTTGTAGGATCTTGTTTCTTCCCTGGCAGCCTGAATAAACCCAGCCACTAGTAGGCAAAGGCAGTTATAAGTCTGTATTTTAGTTTAGTCCTTGAAACAGGAAGCCCTCAAAATAGAATGTTTCCATCTCTGTGATAAGAGACCAGTAGATAAAAACGGGTAACCTTAAAGGATTCCCTCTAGCAAGAACTGAAATAACCTTTATTGCTCATTGCCCCTCTGCTCCTATTAAAATAAAAGCAGCTTCAGTTATTTATAACAGCTAAAAAAAAATCAGCAGGTGAACTGTCAAACTTTGTAAAGCTTTGATCTTAGAATTCAATTTTATTTTTATGTGTATCTTATTGATATCATATTTTATCCTATCCAGCTGTGCCAAATGTGTGCTTTGGGGAATGCTGCTCTAGAGAAGCAAGGGAAAGAATTTAGTGGGATAGGTCACTTGAGAGATACCACTCTTCTATTTGAGATACTACTGAGCTAACATCTGGACTTGACTGGTGTTTTTCAGTATCTGCTTCCTGAATTGTTACAGGCCAAGTGGTGGTTGAAGGACTGTGTATGTACATGTGTGGTGGCTGTCCTGTTTTGCCCAAATTTTATTTAGCAATTATGTCCTGGTAAAGGAATTCCCTTTCTGAGGAAGTATTCTTCACTCACAGATTTGAGTAAAGTGGGTCTTAAAGTCAGTGTCTTGTTACTGGAATCAGTTCAGCTCTAGTTCAATAGAAACTTTTATTAATGGTCGTGGAAGCTGAACAAAACTGTGTGAATTGATAAGGTATCTGCTCGCAGAATACATAATGTGTCAGCAGCACCTCTGTGATTTTCAAAACCAGTTTTGTCCGTTATTTTGCTTCATCCTCAATTTAAATATATTCCACCGTCGGGTCCAAAGCCAACCTCATCAGCCCAACCTTCTCTGAAAAGAGTTTTCCATTATTTCTCTATAGTTGCTTAAGTATTTTCTGGGATTTATAAAAGCATATAGTTGTCTTTGTGTGTGTGAAATAGTTTCACACTGCCAAGTACAGGCTGCAGAACTTTTTGGACTTTGAAAATTTGAGGGTTTGAGGAATATAATATAGTTTATCCTGAGTTTTAGCTTCTGTATTTTGAGCTTTTGGACAGTTAAAATCTTCAGGCTCTAGAAAGGAAGTTCTTAATGGGAACTGAAATTCTCATTTGTACCTCTGGTTGCATCATTATTCATGACATCTGCAGTACTCTGAGCACTTTGCACCCTTACTCTCTCTGGGGCCACAGCACCGGCATATTTTGTGTTAATTCCTTCTGGTAGTTGGACTAATGTATTGTGCCATAATAAAGAAATGCCCTGGCATATGCTTAAGTGTCTAGGCTTCCTGTTCAGGAGAAAGTAGGTACTGTCTTTCTGAATCCTGCAGTGCTTACTGCAGTTTCCTTTCACAAAGAATGACAGCTGTGCTTTACGTAAAGAAGGAAGCTGGATGACAAAATACCATGATCTTGTATCTGCCAGTTGAAAAGCGGCTGTGATGCACAAGAAAGGATTTAGTTTAGCCTTCTTCAGAGTATGGCTGCCTTTGTTCAGGTATTCCACGTAGCTCCTCATGACAGTGTTTTGCTGAATTGTCAGAAACATTTCCTTTGGTCACCACACCCTACTACAGATGGTTTCTATTGCTATGACTGGCTTAGCCAAAGGAACAAAACCGGAGTTGAAAT